CTCGCGATGCTGTTAGCTGTTCGGTGTTCGGTGTTCGCTGATGGCCAAGAAACGGGGCGGGGAAACGGTGGGGGGTGGGGACCCGGGTGCCAATACCGCACTTTTCTATCCAATCAAACTCGTTTCTTCCGAGAATACACAATAGAAACATTCATATCGCGTAATCGTCAGAGTGACACGTAACTTTCAAATGGAAATGAAAATGGTAATGGTAATGGAGTTCACTACTGGATCAGAGGACTATATGCACACTTTGGTTGCCGCACTAAAAGCCCATCGATTGAACTTGGCTAGATTTCAGGACCATCTAGCTAAGCCATCGTTCGCCTAATTGCCAACCAAAACAGAGTTTTGTTTACGAAATCACCGATCTTCACATCTGCTTTCGACAAAAGTCACGCACCGACTGATTCGAAGCCGCAGACTCGGCTTGAACCCAAGACGAGTTTGCAAGCCGAAGTCTTAGCCGAAGTGGAGATCGTGATTTCTCTCCCTCTCTCTCCTGCTTTCGTATAAGAGTTCTTTTATAAGACCCGCTTTATAAGGCCCCCTCTTATGAACAACAGTAGCAACTGCACACCTCCGAATTAATGAAGACTGTCAAGCGCCTGAGGGAATCTTCAGGTCTCAGAGCATGACCAAAATCTGTCATTAGTTTCGGGAATGTGGCAACCGAAGCCCCATTAGAATTGATCCAAATTTTAACAAAGCAAAGTGGCTTTTCTAGGAAATCGATATGAATGTTGAGAAGCGGTTTTAAATCCCCCATTTATCACAAGATAGAAGCAAACCAAGTCCCATTAAAAATTAAGTTTTCATATGTAAACAGAGTTAAGAGAGACATTGGTATAAATTTAAAGAAGTATATAATGGATATACAATTTAGGTTTTTGTTAAAACACAAGGCCCTATGATAAATGAAATAAATTTTCTAAATCAAAGTGTCTTATCCAGGAAATTGCTATGATTATAATTCGAAATAAGAGAACAGTAAAACACTGCTAAAAATATATATGACCAAGAAACCTTTCCTGAGTTTGAAAGATATTCTAAGGTTTTGGTTTAATAATGTTAAATAAGTAGAAAAAAACTGTTTAAGAAAATATTCAGTTGATTAGTACCTAAACTTATACTGACAACAGATAAACAAAACCTAGCAATATGTGACCCGTTTCGTATCCTTATGTCCGCAATGGCAGCTGAACACCGAATACTTTTAAGTCTGGACTTATAAAGATTCAGCATATTTAAAGTCATTAATTAGATATTCTCAGACCACTAAGACAACCTGTGTTTAGCTAGAAAAAATTGTGTAAACCCAAGACCCATAAAAATTTAACCAATTATTTGCAAATCAATAAGTCTTTACTGGGAAATCAGAACTAACGCTTAGAAGCAGTCGTCGATGGACGGCAACCATCCGCTGCAGTAGTGCCAGGTGGACCAGGCGGACCATCCCTGCTGGCTGAGCACCTTCTGGGCACAACGGACGGAGTGGGTGATGTCGTCGGTCAACAGGGCGTTGCAGCTGAGTCCGCACTCGTTGTAGGAGAAGCGACCGCTGGGAGGAGCGCACCAGTAGTAGTCGTTGATCTGGAAGATGCCGTAGTCGTTGGAGCCGTTGTAGTTCTCCGGACCCACCACTCCGGTGCGGTAGGAACTCTCGTGCTCGGCAATGCAGGCCCACTTGTTCAGCTGGTCACGAGGAACGCCCAAATGGGACATCTCGCGGGCCAGGGAGCAACGGTCCATGGTGCGACCGAAAGCTGGGGCGGCACAAGCCAGAGCAACCAGAACGATGAAAGCCTTCATGTTGACAATTTTCGAAAACTGATGTCCAAACAGTAGAAGCTTCGTGTTTTTATAGCCAAATAATTCGGCTGATAGAGGAGTTATCGCCTACACGCTTACTGATACGAACTCCATTTTTGCGCAGCGATCGATAATTTTAATTAAGTTTCAGCATGGAAAATTTGCAGCTCCAGTTTAAAGGGTTTATATGCAGGCTATTCGTAAACAAGCTGAAATCAAATCTAACCCCGAATATAATTGACTATAAATACTAACGAAATTATCACTGATTAAGTCATATTAAAAAAAATCTGTCACCGAAACTTCAAGTCAAATCAGTATCAATCATCTACAAAGATTTTTTTGTAGTTTTTTTTAGAGATACCCCTTATCTGTTCTGCCATTTGAGATAGTAGAATTCATTTGTTCTATAAAAAAGGATAAGTTTCCTTTATATCGAAATAATAATATATACAAGTAAACCCTCCGCATAAATTAAAGCATAATTTAAATACTGCTTTTAGTTATATGATTTAACTAAAGCCTAAAAGTATGCAATGATTGCATTGCTGACAAAAGCTGTCAGCTATGGATCTGTTGGATTTAAAAAGTCTTTAATTCTGCTTACCTGTCAACAATCGACTTTCCCGCTTCGTACATGGAGTCCAGGGAATAGTCGTCGCCAATGGAGCTGTAGACATTTGTCTGCGTCCCAGCAGTGTCCACATCGCAGTAGCTGCAGCTGCAGCACGAGAACTGTGAGCAGTACGAGGATGCATCCATGTCGGTGATGCCAATGGAGCATTCCTCATCCAGAGGTTGTGGCTGCGGCTGCAGTTCAATATCCACTGTCGCTTCTTTTTGCGGGGAACCCCCGCGTGGTGAACGATTGCTGAAAGTCCAAATATTAGTTAAGATATAATGACACTTGCTTAAGATGATAAGACATTTGCATAAAATTTGACTAATTACTTATATAACTTAAGGATAAATCAGGGTTCATAAATATAAACTTATGGAAAATCAAGGGTTGTTAGAGCATACACACATTTATGGACTTTAACCGCTTTCCCGTGTAATTTTCTTTGGTTTCCTTATAGAGTTAAACCCTTAATTTGATAAGTATCGTGTGAAATCCTGTTTCAAACATGAAGTAGAGCATTTTTTTTTTTTCGTTATTGAAATCTGTTAATTTCATCGCAATATTAATCTGGTCTGTTGGCTGTACTTTAAAGCTTGAGTCGTAATCATCCTAATCGTTTTTTGTTACAATAATATTATATCACGATATGAAATATATATGTAATATTTTTAAATGCTTCAATGCAAAATGTTATTAATTTTTTCCGCGTAATAAATCCAGTCAGTTAGCAGTACTTCAAAGCTCTTGGAATAACTCTCTAGTCTTTGTTAAAGCGGAGTTTTATTGCGAATATTAAATATATTTGTATTATTTTTCTTTACTGTATATTTTTTTTATTGCGAGTATTAAGTATATATGATACATATGCAATTTTTTTATAAAATGTTCAATTAAAATTTGTTTTATTATCCCACATAATTAAGTTAACAGTATTTTAATGCGGGTAACACCTTAATTGTTGTAAATCAAAACAAACGGAGTCTTACCTCTTGGTGCGTGAGTCCATCGTGTCCATGACCACGTTCCAGGTGCGGTGTATCAAGTAGAGCAGAAACAGCACCCTCGACGTCTCTCCATTGTGTTGCGGTGTTGCATTATTATTGGCATTCTGTCCATGTCCAGCTCCCAAACAACTGCTTGAGCCCAATCGCTCCTGGTCTGTGGACTTCGGCGGTCTCTTCTGGGGATCGTGGTGGGGATGGCGGGCGGGCAGGGTCTTGGAGCGGTACTCGTTCTGCAGGCAGTATTCCCTCTTGTGCTGTTGGTATCGACGGCGCGTATTGAACCGGGAGTTTCCCTCGCCGGCGGCCCCCTCCTCGGCGGCTCCGTCCACGCCCCTGCTCGATGCCATGCGATTGCCCATTACAATGTTGCGGATCAGCGGCTGTCAGTCATTGCCTAATGTGACATGGACATGGCACACAGAGCATAGAACACAGAGCATAGAACACATGTTAGTGGGGATGTCTGCATGGATGCAAGCAACTATCTTGGAGCTGACACAATTCTAGCAACCAGTTTGGCCAATGGCCAGCGCGAAAAAAGTGAAGTGGCCATCGGAATTGGGTCGACAACGAGTTTGGCGACCTCGTTCGTCTAGAACAAATGCCTCTTCGTTTGGCTGGCTTTGTAATTATGATAAACCATACACATGATGGATTGCATGGACCAGTTTGGACATGATCCTGGACAGCCAGATTGCTTCTCTGCGAGGCGTGGATGCTGTCATTTCAAGCCAGCATCTATCAAATGGATCCAGCACAGCCAATCAGCAGCCCATTAGCCAGGCAATACATCAAATTAGCGCCCTTGGGCGATTAGTACGCCCAACACTTGCGGTTTGACCCGAAACACACCCGAAATGAACTATATATTTAGCTCTAGCCAGTAGCCAGTGAAACCACATATATATTCTTATCTCTACTGACGTAGCAAACGTGACCGCTAAATGACAATACCCGATCGCAGCCGAAAGAGGGCTGGACTTATCAGCAAACTACAGTGAAACATGCCGCAAAGGGATTTGAACTACCTGCGTTTAAAACAAATCCTCATTATCGCTCATTAATTGGTTTACACAAAAAAAATATTTGATTAAGCATAAATTATGAAACAAGTTTGTTGGAAAACTTTCTTGCTGTCACAAAGAATATGTAAATGTAAGCCATAAATTGGAGCAGCAACCAGTTATTTTAGGGTCCCCATTGTAAGAACCTTTTTCTGTTAGTGAAAGTGACGACTATAAAGTGGAAAGTTTTTAGGCCTCTATGGAAAGGTTTTGGCTGACAAGTTGACTTAGGTCTTTAAACGGTGTGGCTACTGTAGTGAATTAACCGCACCATAAATAAATGTCTTTCCAACATGCGCATTGAGCATGAGAGGTGGATTGTACCTCAAACCCACCGAGAACTTAAAAAACCTACATTCTCGACTCTAATTAAACTAAATACGGCGCAAGAGTTACTGAGTTATCTTATCAGAAGAGACACCCTGTACGAGCCGCAATGTTAACTATAGGGCAAACCGGGAGCCGAGCACTCAACTTTAAAATGCGATACCCCATCTGGTTTTGGCCGACAGTCGCGTTTGCAACGATCTAGCGAGCGGTAGACTTTACGCGTTTAGTGCGAGAGAAAGGAGCTGGAAGGCGCCTGACAAACTGAGAATCTGAGAAACTGAGAACCTGAATCAGAACGAGGCCAGTAGTATCAGGAGTAAGGTAACTAGGACACACCTCCGGCCAGCCAAAATGAGCCAGAACCAACTCATCTCAGAGCAACTGCTCTTCGAGGAAAAGCCTCTCCATGTGCCCCCATTGTCGGAACTGCAGAAAGGTGAGTTCAATCTGAAGCTGAAGCTGAAGCTGATTTCCCACAGATCCGACAGATTACTATACAAATACGTGCCATATTCGCGCGAGTGCCATGTGCAAATGACCTTCAAGAACGGTGCCGAACTTTCCATAGCCGGTTTTTCGGTCGGTTCTGCTGCCGTTTCAGTGTAGTGTTTTTTCTGTTTTCTGTTGTTTGTTTGCTGTTCTCATTGAGCAGTCCAAAACAGAAACATATGATTGGGCCCCAGAGCTTTTTGGGATAGCTTTTGCTACACAGAAAAAACAGAGCTTAAAATGCAATGTTTTAGGTGCAAAATAAGGGTTTTCAAATTAAAAAAAAAAAAAAACATTTAAGAAACTCCAACTCTGTTTTGCACCTGTAACTTTTTCTCTGTGTAAAAAAACAGAGCTCTAAAATTCAAGGTTTTAGTTGCAAAAAAAAGTTTTAAAACATTTTAAATAACATTTAAGTAACATCAAGTAAAAATAAATGTACTTTTTAAAATGTTTCAACCCTGTTTATGCACTCAAAATGTTTGGCAATTTTCTCTGTGTATATATGTTGTCTAGATGGAGGTCGAGATATAAAGCTTTAATGGGATTCTCTCTCTGCTCCCAGTTATACAGGGTGCCTTGACTGCCAACTTTGCCAGAGTGGATGTGAGTGTGGGTCCTTGTCCGGATCTGAAGGACTCCCAGTTTGGTCTGGTGGAGAGTGGACTGGGTGGCAAACCCACTTTGCTAGAGGCTGGAGGCCCTCCCTTTTTGCTGCCCTTGGTTCAACGCGATAAGTTGTACAATATCACGGAGATCACGCGAAAGATTCAGGGTCCTGGCAAGATCTTTGCCGTGGGCGCAGGAGCAGGTCCTTGGCCAATTAGGGGATCCAATTGCGAAGGCATCTACAACCTGTCGGTGAGCGAGACGGATGAGCTCACCAATGGCAGCTACACGGCCACGGTGAGGGGTGCAAAGGAGGAGTGTGTCCTGGAGAAGATTCCCAACGCAGAACCCCGCTGCGCCCTGCTCCTGAACCTCTTTCTCAGCCAGGGAAAACCTGGTCAGGTCCTGAGGATCACCGCCAAGCAGAGGACTGGCGAACAGAACTTCATCGAGTGCATTCGTAAGGGTCTGGAGAACCACTATGGCGACAAGGTGGTGGGTCTGGGTGGCATTTTCCTGATCAAGAAGGGGGCTGCTCATCAGCACGTGATGCGGGACTTCAGCAAGACACCCATTCACACCGACGAGGAGGTCAACGAATGGCTCAAGTTCTACGAGATGCCCGCCCAACTAAATGCCGTGGGCACTTTGGTGACCAAGGAGCACGACCTTGACCTACGCCTGCAGCACTTCCACTCCTTCTCCTTCAGCAACTGGGGTGGTCACTATCATTATGACACAACGCCCGATGTGGTGGAGTACGAGGCCTATCTGAATGTGGCCGAGCGGGTGGTGCGGGTGGACAAGCCCGAGGCCACTCACAAGGTCGGACGAGACTAGATCTTATCACCCCATATCTATTTGCCCCGACACCCCCATAAATAATATAGTAAATAAAAATAAAACTAAAAAGTAAACGAGAAAACAAAAGTGCTATTTTTTGGTGTTATTAGATATGGAACAGACTAAAATTATAAGTGACATTTTTTATTAAAGCAAGGGTAAATACAACTAAAGATTTAAATAGAAAACTACCACAAAGTCAAATATCAGTGGAAACCATGTATAAGTGCGGCATTATCATGACAGGCGTTCGAAAATCTGACATTTTAAGCAAACGATCTATACAAATTTTGGAATATAACCAACTTAGACGATAGCTGAAGTGTTTATTAGGGCCAGAAAATTATAAAGAAAAATAGAATAGAACCACAGTTTTTTCCTGGACTCAACCACAAAATTGAATGTCAGTGGAAAGCATTATCATGACAGGCCATCGAATAGCTTACATTTTTACCAGACGATGGTATTTTATTCAGTCGCTATTGTACCTTCAGCAAGGCAAGTTCCTGAACTCATATCGCCATATTTGCAGTGATAACATGAGCCAGAGTCACCTTCAAACGGATCAGCTTCTCTTCGAGGAGAAACCACTCCATGTGCCGCCACTCTTAGAACTACAAAAGGGTGAGCATTACTGAATGAAGCATTGATAAAAATACACAGAAACAAAATGTATTAAATATGACACTTTTTCGAAATAATATTTCATATCAACACTGAAAAAATCGATTGTTGATTGATACAAATTTAGTATTGCTTACTTTTTTTTTTTAATTTGGTCTGATCAAATGGTGTCAAAGAATACCATTCTTTTTTTTTCCTGTGTTGATCTCGCCTAGCTGTGTTCTCAGATAATGCTTTTTCTTGCCCTTTAGTTATACAGGGTGCTCTGAATGCCAACTTTGCCTCAGTTGATGTTAATGTGGGTCCTTGTCCGGATCTGAAGGACTCCCAGTTTGGCCTTGTCGAAAGTGGACTGGGTGGCAGGCCCACTTTACTGGAGGCAGGCGGTCCACCCTATTTACGCCCCTTAGTGCAACGTGAGAAGCTCTACAATTTGAAGGAGATCACTCGAAAAGTTCAAGGACCTGGCAAGATCTTTGCTGTGGGACCAGGAGCAGGTCCTTGGCCCATTCGCAACTCCAATTGCGAGGGCATCTTTAATTTTTCCCTAAACGAAGAGGATGAACTCAAGCAAGGTAGTTACACAGCTACTGTAAGAGGAGAAAAGGAAGAGTGTGTTCTGGAAAGAATACCCGAAAATGAACCACGATGTGCTCTCATCCTAAATTTATTTCTGAGTGAGGGAAAACCAGGTGAAGTGCTTCGAATCTCTGCTAAGCAACGAACTGGAGTAGAAAACTTTGTGGATTGCATTCGCAAGCGGTTGGAGCAGCACTATGGTGACAAAGCTATTGGCCTGGGCGGAATCTTTGTGGTCAAAAAGGGCTGTGTCCATCAGCATGTGATGCGGGATTTCAGCAAGACACCGATTCACACCCAAGAACAGATTCAACAATGGCTCAAGTTCTACGAAATGCCAGCTCAGCTAAATGCTGTGGGCACTTTGGTGACCAAGGATATGGGACTTGATCTAAGGCTGCAGCATTTCCACTCCTTTTCCTTTGCAAATTGGGGAGGCCACTACCATTACGACACCACTCCAGATATAGTCGAATATGAGGCTTATCTTAATGTGGCCGAACGTGTTATCCGTGTGGACAGACCACAGCTAACTGACCAGTTGGGAAGAGACTGATATTTGACTATCTCAGCCTGTCACAACCATCAAAAACTGCTACACTAATAAAAAAAAATGTAAAAGTAAAAATAAACATGTGGCCATTGAATTTAAAATTGTATATATTATATTTAAATTAATAATTTAATCAATAATAAATGCAGTGCATGCTGAATTGCATGATTTATTATTCAAACATTTCAATTAAGGTAAAAATTTATATGGATTTTATTTACTTTAAAATTGTTTAAATTTAAATTAAAAATACTCAAATAAAATATTTTGAAATTTTTTTATATTTTCATTTTTGAAAAAACTAAAAACTGCAATAAATGAAAACCGAAAAATATTTAAATTGAGTACAAAATAATAAGATTTACTACGCTCTTTTACCAGTTTTTTTTTTGGTAACTGTCTATTGGTCTAAAAATAAACTCTTCTTAGGAAATTTTTTCAGTTTTTGTCTGGTCTGCGAAATGACAAACGTGTGGCTAACATCATTTGTGGAGCAGGCCCCCAGGGGTTGGGCTTTATGTAATTGCCAAAAATTAGAGCCGCCGCTTTCTTTGAGATGCAAATCGATTCGATGGCCAAATGATCTGTATACCATGGGGCACCTGCCATGAGTCTTAGAAATTCTGAAGCTTCATGCTTGGCCTAATGATAAACGCGATGTGGCCGTCTAGCTAAGCAGGCCGTAAATAATGCCCCAAACATGCAGCAAAACTATGTTTTTCTTTTTGCACCGCTGATCATTAATTATTTAATAACTCAGACCACCGCTGCGAGTGCATTTGCGAATTCAGCCATTAAAACGTTTTTTTTTTTATAGATTTCTTGTATATAAAAAGGCTGGACCGAATCAACCCATTTTGTTGTGACAGTTACAAATCGCAGATGAGATAGGGGTATCGATCATCTATAGATGTACAGATAGATCTTTTGATATTCTTACCCACTCACTCTGGGACTCTCCCTAAAACTCCTATTGTTCTGTTTTTGGCTCGTCGTCGGCGTCTCTGCTTAACGGGTTTCCAATATTTGCATTTAAGTATTTATTATTCCAGATTCGGTTATCAGAATGAAAGTAGCACTCTTGAACGAAACGCGGCGCACACAAACAAAACTCCGAAAAACATCCATCGATTGATCCAATTTAATCTACCGAACTAACGCGCGGTGAAATGCAAATGCGATTTCTTCAACGTCGTCCCACGAAAAAGAAAATCTCTTTTTGTTATTGTTACCGTTGTTGTGGTTGTTGTTGCATTGGTTTTTGTGGCTCAGGCATACTCGGTTTATTCATATTTTAAACACACCATTAGCACTTTTTATTAGCTGCCTCGCTTTGATTGACTCTACTTCCACCCGACTTCACTTTACCAGATCCGATCCGACTAGTGTAACTTCGTCGGGGTTTTCGATTTTGAGTTTAACTTTAAGCTTAAACTGGGTCCACGTCCACACGTCTGTTCGAGTGAAACGCGAGTTGCAGACTGAATGAAGTCTGCGATCAGATGGCTCGACTGCCGATTGCCGCCACTGGTTGGAGTAGCTTTTCACATGGCTCTTCAGGCGCGTAGATAGCGAACTTGTTTGGGGGATTTCTACAAACATTGGTTCTATCCATTGATGCACTCAGAAAACCAGCTGCCTTAAAATTATAAAAGTTATTGTGCTTTTCAGTATTGCCTTGCCAATTTTACTTTAGGCAGGTTAGTTATAATATAATTTTTAATTAATCGCGATTAACATTAATTATTATTTCTTCCTTCTTACCTTTTCTTACACGAATTTCATTTTCTGTAAGCGGAAGCATTTTACGATTTTAATTTGAACATGGAATTTATAATTACAAAATGAAAAAAATTTAGTTTAATTTAGACTACAGTAGAGATACACAAAATTAATTTTAACTTATGACAACAGATTTCTTACTTTAAAATTGTTAACTTGATTACAGAAGTGTGTTGTAGTTCTGGAAATTAAATATTCATTTCTAAAATGTATTAATTTCTTTCTGAGTGCTTTTCGTCTGCCGACCCCTTTTGGTATCGAATGTTTGTGACAAGTCTTTTGGCGCTACTGCTGCACCTCTGATAAATCAGGTTGGCTTTTCGGCTGGTCTGTTTTACAAGCGTTTTTAAATTGAAATTGTCGTTTAATCTCTAATTGGCGCCATTTGTTGATAGAGTAAAGAGGCCGATTTGGAAGACAAGTGCATAAAGCGAGAGCCGCAGCGATTTTCCCAAGCCCCGAAACCAGTTACCACACTGAGCCCCTGCGATTTGGCCACATCCAAAGTCGCTGCCAAGGCTACTCCGCCTATCCACTTCCATTAAAAGCGACACGATTTTAGTTAGTTTTAGTTGGTGCTCCTGTTAGAGCACTTTGCCCAAAGGCAGGTAAGCCTACAACTCGTTCAATGAACCACCTCCAAAGAAAGTTAAAGAGGCTGGCTGGCCACATAAAAATTGCATAATGATTGATGCCCCAAGGCTAGCTGATGTATCGCCATTATAATAGCACAGCAATTTATTCTCCATTCCCCGGACGTTTTCATTAATATGTGATTGTTTTTTTTTCGGCACAGATCCGGAATAGAAAAGGCCAGAAAAAACATTTCATTTAATGGCGAATTTGCTGAATTTATCATTTGACTGCCCACGATGCCCACAAGCCAAAAATGATTTAAAACAGTTCTCTAAAAGAAAATGCTTCAAACTATTAAAAATAGATTTAAAAAAATTACTAGAATTTGCAGTTGCCTCTTTGAAAAATTAAAAAGATAAGTTAACATACGTGCCACGTAATTTTATGTAAATTTGTAAATAAATAGGACTTAAAGGGTAGACCGGCATATTTTATGGATTTGGGTAAGAGAAGCTAAGTAAGTAGCTAACTTTTAGGCTGTTAAGTCTGTGTTTTAAATAAAAAAGCATTATTTTAGGATGATAATAACTAACCACACACATGACAAACTTAAAATCTTATTGCATACTTTTTAGAAACATGAAGAAACCTACAGTAAAATATTATAAAGTTATACATTACTCATGGTCTTTTGCCATTCGAAGTACTCACCTATTTTAAGTAAAACCTATAGTCTGGTTTGTTTTATATTTTCTTTATATATTTCTTTTGTATACATATACAGTATATATTCGTCTGCTTGTATACAACTTTATAGGTTTACACATCTTAGAACTGAGCTTTAATTGGGAATACTTGAAAATGTAGCAGCTGGTGTTCGATATTGTTGAGTCTCGTAACTGAAAGATTAACATAACTAAACTAAAGTTACACGAAGTTCTCTAAATTACTTTGGCCTCACTCTATTTTGTGCTTTGCCAGGATCAGGATGTGGTCACAGTGGATACTATATATGTAGAACCAATTTGAATTAATAATATCTGACCCAACTGAGCTACTGCCTTTGAAGAAATGGGAGCTCTTAGGAAAATGTTACAGGGATTTCAACTTATCGTGTGTTATTGGTTGTGCATTTGTCTATATGTTGTGTACTCGTGTATAAAGGGTGTTCCTACAAAGGGCATCTATTGCTGATTGCTTTAAGCTTGAGTTTCAAGTGGGAGTTTTGAACCAAGGGTAACTATTTACATGACTAAGATCTTGCACAATTTTTAGGAACGGTTAAATAATACAAATTTATAGCTAGGGTTTCTATTGCGAGCTTATTGAATTTATTTTAAGATTCTCTTTGAAGAAGAGCAAATATTTCTTGAGATTTTCCTTTTTATGTTTTATTCGTAATAACCGCACAAAAAATATATCGTATTGATTAATGAATTCTTCCATCTAGAAGCGAAAACCGCCCTTGCAAGCCTACTCAATGTAGATGTCCTCGATGGGATAAGCAGTTTCAATGAATTTCTGATAGAATCGCTGGAAAGCACGACTGAAATTGAGCATAATGGTTAGACACTGTTATTGGGCTTTGTTCCGAGGGTTTACTGTGTAACGAAAGACTTACCCCACTGCCTCGGCCACCGGCCTGGTGGACTCGGATCCCTTGAAGACGTGACAGGCGAACCGCTGCACCGTCGGATGTTTGGTGATGTAGCCAATGAAGCGGTGATCGCGAGGGTGAAAGGCGCAGAAGGAGACGTTCTTCAGGGAGTAGAAGTAGTCGATGCAAGGCTTCTTGTCCTTTTTGTTTTGCTGTGAAGGAGGGAGGAGATGGGTATATTATAAAGCTTTGCTTAATATATAAAATTATATTTAAGATTCTATAATTAATTTATTCGAAGTATATGTTCAATTTTAATATTTGATATCGAAATAAGGGATTTAAAAAAAGGATTTTGAAGAGTAAGCTCACATATGGACAAAAGTTATGATTTTTCAATTACTTTTTAAATCGAAAAATAGCCATTAAAGCGGTTTTTTATGACAAACCTATTTAAAAATTATTTAGTTTTATTAAAGTCAACAAAAAATATATTGATACGAGCATAAGAATCAAAATAAAAGTCTTTTTGCTGCAGAGCCTTCAGTTATAAATACATTCCATTGACATTTATTACGCCACACTATAATATTGTGTGTTGGTTTTAATAAAAATGTCTTGTTTGCAAGTCTTGTTATACTCAAAAGCAGTTAAGTGCTTTAAGACTAGTATTAGTTAAGAGTGGAATGTACAAATAACAAAAAAATAAAATAAATTCAAAAATGTTTTTTTTTAAATGAAAACTATAACAATAAGATTCATTTCTGTCATTTATATGAATGATATATAGCTTTTCATCTTTCTTAGGAATAACTATGAAGCTCTTCTGCTAAGATCCCCTACTCACATTTGGGCCCGATCGGTCCACCATGCGCAGTCCCTGGTCGGAGACCTCCAGGATGCAGGTCTGTCCGGTGGGTGAGTTGCCGTACTCCCCGACGATCTTGCGCACCGCCTGGCAGACCACTCCGGTGCCCTTGTGCGCCAGCGTCTCCACAGAACCGAGGTAGCCCAGCAGGTAGCGCTCCTTCTTCACCAGCTGCACAGTGGGATCGAACTCGTTGTAGTCCAGGTCGACGGCGTAGGCCGATGGGAAGATGCCCTGGCGACCGGTGCGCAGATTGACGCCCTCGCACCACAGGTCCTCGGCCTCCTTCTGCACATAGATGGCGTCGCCGATCTCCAGCTCGATCTCGTCGTGGTGCCGCGGCACAAACTTGTGCAGGCCACGGTGGGTGGCCTCCAGCATCTCCAGCTGGCCAAAGGGCACGCCCCCAAAGGGGGGCGGGAAGGGAGACTGCGAAACGGGGGATGTGATCTGCGGCGACATGCTCTTGAAGTCGTTCGGCGAGTGCGCCGTGCTGTGGCCACTGTCCACATCCCCGAGGCTCTGCATCCGCTCCGAATCCGGACTGGAGTCCTCGTCCATCAAGTATCCGCATTTGAGCGACAGGAACGATCGCTGCTGACCAGTTCGAGCTGAGGGCGGAGCTCCTCCTCCGCCTCCGATGATCCCCCCGCCTCCATTGCGGAACTCATCTGCCAGGGAGCCAAAGTTGGAGCCACCTAGAAGATGCAGAATGGAAGCTGCAACGAGGCCATGAGCGGGTTAGCCCAACACTACGAAGGGATCCTAACAAAAGGGATCCGGTTTTGAAAAGGATTTCAAATCAATGAGATTTGAAAAGAAGAGTGAATGATAATAAAGGGTATAAAATTGTGCTTACACTAAGAAAACACACAAATATTAAAATGGCCTAAAAAGTAAGGCTATTTTAATTTTTGAATGTTTTGAAAATTTTCTGAGTGTAGAATTTTAAGAATCCTACATAAATCAAAGTTTAAAACTTTACTTTTAATGTATATTTTGGACTACTTTACATTGTCCCACTTACTATGCATATAACAACTATTTTCTTTACAAGTCTTTATAAAAATATTAAACATTTTGAAAACCGGACTAGCCCCTTTATAACTACTGCATGCAGGATAACCTAACTGGGAACTAAGTTCTCAATCTCACTTACATTTCTTATTTTTGGGTATTTCAGGCAACTTGCGACGCCGTCGCGTTGCAGCCGAATTGGGAGCAAGGAGATCCGTGCTAGCTCCAATGGTCACAGGAGCACTATTGCCACCCAGGCCACTGGTGTCCATGCCCAGGAAGCCACCGATGGCATCCTGGTGGTTCAACGGATGATGTCGGTGCGAGTTGAAGGAGTCGTTGGTGTCCAGCGAGCCATCCGAGGACAGAGTGACCTTCAGGCCGTCGCCCAGCTCGTCGTCCTCCACTTGGCGCAGCTTGGGCTCGTGATCCACCAGGCCAACGCCATCCTCCTGATCGGAGCCATCGCCATCGCCGTCGCTCTTCGAGGAGTGCGAATCCTCCAGGTCATCGTTGGGAATTAGACTGTGCAAAGGACATTATCAAATGAATCAGTTGCAAAATGGCATGCAAAAGTTTGGTTTCAAAATTGCATTACAGGGTAAGTACCCTTCAAGGATACCGACTAATTTGGGGGGTGCTCTTGAGGACACGTGCAGCTTCGCATCGCATCACTTCACTTCCCATTGATTTGGCATAACCTTTAACCTTTTCCTACTTACGAGTAAAATGCATGGGGATTGTTTTTCTTGCTGCCTGCAACCGATCCGAAGCCAGCAATTGTGTGGGGCTCAAATATGGGCCTGTGGAACTCCTCGAATTCGCTGTCCGCCATGTCTTCTCGGTAAGAAGAGGCTCCGGCCAGCTGCCACGCCCACAACTACAGGCTGGCTCACGGGTTGTGTCCTCGATAAGTCGGATACTATATGAGGATTTTCTGGGATTTCCCCTCGAAATTCGTTAGCTACAATATTTTTGCCAACGGAGTCACTTTTTTTCACTTCACATGCGAAAATCGATAATTTCCTTGACGTTGCTGGCGCACTTGAGTCCCCGTCTGACGTCCAGATGTGAGTGGTGCCACATTTGGTGGAGGCCCGAGCCAGGGAAATTTGGGACATTTAAGCTGTCAGCGGTGGAAGCTCTCTCTCTCTCTCTCCCTCTTTCTCTCTATCGCTGGCTCTCCAACTTGTTTTTGTTTACCGCTGGCAGAGGGCAAAGGTCGGGGGACAGCGGCATCCTCCTGGGGGTTGACAAGTAGCGCGTCGGCGCAGTGCGTCACATCCGCTCCTGGTTTTCAGTAAGGGGGTGCGCTGCGAATTGCAATGCTGTTGCGCTTTGGGCACGAACAGCCAGGAGCGCTTCGGGCCCAAAGCGGGTATTTTGGCCAAAACTATGCAAAAATGCTCCAAATGCTGAAAATCATACATCTTTAAGCTCGAAAATGTATTCCCAAATAACTGGCATTTAAACTTTTTTTTTGCCTATTTTCGCAAAAATTTTATGATGTAACCCCTTACATCGGCTATCGGTTACAAATTTTAGTTTCCAAAATCATTCAGAAAGTGATGGGGATTGAAAAACTAGGTCAAAAGGTGTATAAAACAATCATCATTTTGTCTATGTTCCCCATTTTGGCAAAGTTATTTGATTAGAGCTAATACCGCCCCTGTAACCGGTTGTAAGGTGGCGCCATCTGTCGAGTGGCAGTGTCACTAATTCAAGTTAAAACCAACCCTCGATTTTCAAATTTTTTTTTTCGAATTAAAAATTTTTTTGTTATTCTGATTTGTATGGCTAAAAATTTTGACATATCGTTACTGGAGAAAAAAGTGTTAAGAACATATGCATATAAAGATTTTTAATCTTTTTCCACTGTAATTAGGAGATAATGCTAATATTAGATAAGTCGTTTCTAAGAAATTTTAATGCTAACCTCATATTATTTCTTGATAATTCTAATACAAATTTTTTAGAATTATTATGCCTATTATTTGGCAACTTTTCTGTTTTTTTGTTAACATCAGTTTTAGCAATCCTCTATCCTTTTATGATTGACTGCTACAATAAAATTATTTAATAAAAAAATGTAAAAATAAAACATGCAATGCACTTAGGCTACAAAGCTAAGACAAGATAAGTCTTTCCAGCGTACTTTTTCTTAGAAATATTCTTAACGCCAACCTCATTTATATTTATCTGGTCAGCCTGGTCCTCCGGGAACTCCTGCAATGCAAGCCCACCATCGATCGACAACTGCTTCTAAAAGAGTGACCATTTCAACACTTGCACAGGCGAACAAACAATTTTTGTCTTGACTTATACCTTTTCATAACAAGTAGATGATACACCCATTAACAGCAATAAAGTGACAGAGGTAATACGCGATAAGTTCCCATTCGAGGGCTATTTCTGTAAAATCCCCTTCCCATTGCTGACTACATTAATATTTATAGAGACCTCAATAAAATATGTATGTGCAGACGTCTTATCGCGGTTGTACAACATATTACTAACAGGGGGTCTTTGTTTAAAGTTGACTCAATTGCACAGAGTTTCGTGATCTTCACGGGTATAAATAGGCTGAGACAGCAGGCAGCAACAATTAATTTTTTATAGACATCCAATTAAAGCGCATCACAATGAAGGCTCTTCTGGTAATTTGTGTCCTGGCTTTGGCCAGTACGCCTGTAATCCTGGCCCGCACCATGGATCGTTGTTCGCTGGCCCGCGAGATGTCCAACCAGGGCGTTCCTCGTGACCAATTGGCTCGTTGGTCGTGCATTGCCGAGCACGAGAGTTCCTACCGCACTGGAGTGGTGGGTCCGGCCAACTCGGATGGCTCCAACGACTACGGCATCTTCCAGATCAACGATCTGTACTGGTGCCAGCCGCCCAGCGGAAAGTTCTCCCACAATGGCTGCGGCTTGGGATGCAACGACTTGCTGTCGGACGACATCACCAACTCCGTGAGATGTGCCCAAAAGGTCCTGGGTCAACAGGGCTGGTCCGCTTGGTCCACTTGGCATTTCTGCAGTGGAAATCTGCCTCCCATCGATGATTGCTTCAAATAGAGAAGTAAATTGTAATAACCTTGTCTTTGCAACACTCTATTTGCTGTCTTAAGTATTATAAATATTGTTATGTTTAATTTAACACTTATATATATATGTGCAATCGCTTTATAATAATAAAATGTTATATATCATACTTAATTGTGATTTAAAAATAGGTCCATAGACTACAGATTTAGACTATTGGGTATATAAAGTCTCACTAATAATAATCATGCAGAAATGTAAAATTAATGATGCCTAACAATAAAATAAGTACATATACCTGTTACTCAATGGAAGATAAGAGAATATAGAAAATGATTGGTTTAATGAAACAAAGATAAAGCGCGATAACAGGCATAAAGTCATATTCATATCGACGAATGTCTTAAGTCTTTTTTGATGCCAATGAATGCATTGTCGGTTTAAATTTCTTATTCTTTATCAATTTGTTTGTATTATTAAAAGTTTATTTCTTTTAACCGCTGGAACATATTATTCTCAGCATCTTAAATCCATTTTAAATATGTATGCCTTGTAAGTGTTGATACAATTACCCTTGCCAATCCTTAAATTTAGTCTGAGTCACAGTTCATCCCCTGCATCCTCCCTCCAAATTAGTTGTCTAACTTAATTATGCTGAAATCAAGGGAATCAAGAAGTGCCATTCATCGTGACCTCGACTCCGTTCCGGACTCCACATCCGTGTGGTATCTACGTATCCTTTGGGGTAACTTGAGGCTGCTACTCCCATAAATCCTTCAGCTGGTGGGCAAACAGAAAGTGCCTGACTCTTGGGACAGTCGTTTGTCGGTCAATCAGTTAGCCAGCACCATTAAGTTTATCGCTTCGGTGCGATGAAAAGTGAGAGGCCCACGCATGTGTTTGGTGGGGTTTTTCGCATATTTTAATAGCTAAGTATCACTGACTCTGGTTTCCATCCATCCACCCACCCACCGCTTTTCCATTTCCTTTCGCCTCCCCTGGCGCTATTTGCTTTTCTCGAAGCGCAAACAAAGGCCCAAGGAAGCGAGCGGAAAGAAATTGCCATTTATCTTCTATTGACTCTGTTGGAAAGCATCAAGTGGTTGCCGCCGTTCGGGTGGAAAGCGTTTCTCTTTTATGGCGGCTTGGAGGGTCCAACTACCTAGCAACCCATTTATTTGACCACTCTCAATGTCGCAGAGTCAGGTTTTTTCTTAACTAGCTTCGTATTGATTTTATCTAACAGGAGTTTTGTTATTTTTCCAACGGGTTTCACTAGGTTTTCCTTACGGTACACTAGTTACTGCCGTACCAGCATAAATTAAAGGCTCGAATTTGAAAGTCAAGCACAGAAGTCTGTCTCTGTGTCTGTCCACCAACCCCATGCCCGTGACTTTTTCCTCATTCAAGCCATTGAAAGTTATTGCTGCTGATTAGAAAGTGAAAATCTTGTGATATGGTAAAATCTTGTATACCCTCTTTATGTTAATTGTATAATATTTAAAGTAATTCCATTATCACACTTTTTTCAGTATAAATAAGTAACTGAGTAAATAATAAACAATATAAATAAATGTTAAATATTTTTGTAACCTACTAATAAAAATGTATGAAATATTTTATTTGGTTACAAATTTAATTAAAATCATCATTATTTAAGAGTTTCTTATTTTTGATGATAATAAATGTTTTCAATTTAAAATGCATTTTTTTTAATAATAATAATAAAACAATTCCCGATGTTTTACAAAATAAAACCCATACTGTGACTAATAAAAATATATTTTTGATAAATATTAGGACTCTTAAGTAAGGGCATGATGACGTCATGCGTTAGCGTTTTGGCCTGACTCCAGCATGATTTGGCCAATCAGAGCCAGAGCACATCCACATCCTCCCCCCACCCAAAAAAGGAGGTGGGGCCTGTGAATAGAAAGACTCACTTGTAGCTTTTATATCCTTGAACGAATTTATCTCGCCACGCACACTTAATAAATACAATTGAATATGTATCTCCAGCTACGAGTGTGTGCAAGTCCTGCGGGCTGACTATAAAAGGGCTGTCGCATCGACAGGATCTTGCAGTTGGCGCTGAGTTGCGCATACGACGCGTGTGCCCCATCGGAAACAGAAAAAAAAGGCGTTGTAACCAAGTGCAGTGCAGTGATGAGTGCTTCCGGAAAGAGTCTTCTGGGCCTGTGGCTCTACAGGAGCGGCGAGCAGGAGTGGGCCGTCAAGCAGGGCAGCCCCTTGCACCAGCTCAAGAAGGATACGACGACTCCTGGTCCGCCTGGTTCACATCCGAATCTCGCCAGGCACTCCTCAGCTCCTCCAGAGCCACCACGGCTGGCCATCGGAGGTGCCAGCCAGGATAGTGTCAGTGCCAGGCAGCATTCCCCCGGTGAACGCATCTCCATCATATTCACCCTGCGCAACCAGGTGGGAAATCTGGCCAGAGCCCTGCAGGTTTTCCAGGAGCTGGGCATCAATGTGCTGCATCTGGAGCTCTCGCCGCTGGAGATGGCCACCAACCAGGCAGACGTCCTGGTGGATGTGGAGTGTGATCCTCGTCGACTCGACCAGGTCGTCAAAATGCTCAACCGGGAGGTGGCCTGCGTGAACTACACGTCCGTGAATACCCAAGGTTTGGCCAGAGCTCCATCTCTGTCAGCCTGCTCCAGTTTTGGTGAGTTTTATCAAAGATCTTGTATAACATTAATATAAGAATTTTAGTTTTTACTGCGAGAATTTCGCTTGGTTTCACATTGATTTCTAGGACATATAATTTGGTTGCAATTTATAAAACATCTAAAGGGGTCTCTTTAAAAATTGTATATATACCTTAAAATATTAGGAACCAGTGTGAAAAAATACCTCAAAGAGACAAGTATTAAAATAATAAAATATAAAAATAAAACTTATGTGGCTTAAAAATAAGACAAACTAATGTTTGTGTCGATCCTTTCAAATAAATATTATTTAAAAATTGCATTTATTTATTGAATAAGTTATGACATGTTGGTTCGTTCGGTGTTCAAACAATACAACTCATAAAGAAATGTATCCAACTAAATATTATCAGCTTGGCAAATGAAATAAAATTCGTGTTGATCCATCCAAATACCCATTTTGCCATTATACATGAAAACATAGTTTTCTGATTTATCGTTGTTGTGTGGTGGTTGTCCGTGTCCCCATTTTAAAAATTGAACCGGCCTTCCAGAGGCCGCCGATACAAATTAATCCGATTTGGCACGATCGTTTATGCCCAGCCAGTAATGATTATTCTTAAGTTTCGCTTGAATGGCCTCAAATTCCCCTTCATTTTGAAAAGTGGCCAGATTGCCGCCCTTTCGAATGCAGGTGCTTTGGGCAGAGTTCCAATCCAGCCTCACGTGGTTCTCAACATAGAAATATCTTGTTCCGATGCGCTCGAACATCGGAGGACTAGTTTTCTCCAAAAGAGCCTGTAGTTCAGTTTCGATCCGATCCAACTTCTCCAATGCAGAAACACAAAAGCCTCTGTTTTGATTATCCGTTGGTTTTGCCACATCACACATACTCCATACAATAAGTATGACCAAAAAAATTGCTCCTGATTTCATAATTTGAGGTGTGCACAACCGCCAATGTTGAGAGCTTCTTATAAACTAATTTTCGAGTTTGCTGAATTAACAGTCGAAGAGCTATTCAGTTTTCTCTGATAAGAAAAACACCGATCGTTTTGGGTTTAAGGGTATATTTAAGCGTTTCCGAACATTAAATTCTAAAAAGGATTTTTGACACACCGACATTTGTTAGTCCATTAGTAAAATAAAAGAAAATACAGTTTTGTGGAAGCGATTAAAAAATACTTATATTTTATTTCTACCTTTTTCCTATTAAGTAAGTAGTGGGTACTTCTCAGTCTGAACGTCTTATCGCGTTATTTAACGATTATTTTTATTTGGGTTAAAAATATTTACCTGAAACTTTTTTCGGCATATCAGGCCCTGCCCCTATTTTTTTTGTGTACCAATTTAACAGCTGCAATAAAATTCAAGTTTAGTTCAGCAATTACTTTTAGCAAAAACAAAAAATATAAAAAAACTACGAATTCAATTAAGAATTATGAATATTATGCCTTGTAAAAAATGTTTGAAGATAAAGATAAAAAGTCTTGTTGAACTTGGATTTATATTTGTGATTTGTCAATATATTTCGATTAGATTTTGGGGACATGGTTTGGTTTCCACGAAAGATCTCCGACCTGGACAAGGCTCAGAATGTGCTCATGTATGGCTCGGAATTGGATGCCGACCATCCAGGATTCAAGGACCCTGTGTATCGTAAACGACGTGAACAGTTCTCGGCCATTGCCAACAACTTTAAGCAGTAAGTGTGAGATAATGGAACTAAACCAAACAGAATATCCCCTAAAACGCCCACTTCTCAACCTTCAACACTTTTTTTTAGTGGCAATCCCATTCCACGTGTGCAATACACACCTGAGGAGGTGAAAACTTGGTAAGTTTTTGATTGCATTTGACTTTGATTGCCACAGAATCGATTCATGTGGGCGACTTGAAACTTTCTGTTCGAAGGGGCACCGTTTTCTTGGAGCTCCATCGTCTTTACGTGTTGCACGCTGTGCCGGAGTATATGGAAACCTGGCCGGAGTTGGAGAAGTACTGTGGCTACCGCGAGGATAATGTTCCCCAGCTGCAGGATGTGAGCGTTTATCTCAAGCGCAAGACAGGATTTCAGTTGCGACCCGTCGCTGGTTATCTATCCCCAAGAGATTTTCTATCGGGACTCGCTTTTCGCGTCTTTCACTGCACTCAGTACATTCGACACTCATCAGATCCATTCTACACTCCCGAACCGTAAGTTTCATTAATAATATGAATAATAATAATAATAATAATAATAATAATAATAATAGTAAATCTAAACTTGAGTGATTAAAAGAGGAAATTCGTACATGGTGTAAAAGCAACTCTTAAACTGCTCACGAATATAAAAAAAAAACAAGTTTAAATAGAAATAAGAAGAAACTAAGAAAGTACAGATGATTAATCACAAAGATACTAGAGATAATCTTTACCTTGCAGAAAAGTGAACAAAAAGCTAATTCTATAACTTTTCTTATAGACATCCGATTTCGAAGAGGGATATCTTTAAAGTCTTGTGGCGTTAGTCTCTAAAAATCTGCATTCAAAAATTCGTTTGTAATTTCGAAAAATGACTTTACAGAAAAGTGGCCAAAAAGCTGCAGCTATAATTCTATAACTTGTCTTACAGACACCCGATTTCGAAGTGGGATATCTTTAAAGTCTTGTTGTGTTAGTCTCTAAAAAGCTAAGCACAAGCTAAGCAAAACAAAGTTCAAGCAATAAATTAGGATTGTGTTTGGAGAATCTTTGAATCAATCTATGCCTGATATATATTTTCAGGGACTGTTGCCACGAGCTACTGGGCCACATGCCCCTGCTGGCCAACTCGAGTTTTGCCCAGTTTTCGCAGGAGATTGGTTTGGCCTCTCTGGGGGCGAGTGATGCGGATATCGAAAAGTTGGCCACGGTGGGTAGTCTGAAATTACTACATTTTTTCCTTTATTTTATATATTTTTTCCATTACAGCTCTATTTCTTTACAGTGGAATTCGGATTGTGCAAACAGGCGGATAGCTCTTTCAAAGTTTACGGAGCTGGATTGCTAAGCTCGGTGGCTGAACTGCAGCATGCGATTTCGGCGGAGAACAAGATCAAGAAATTCGATCCGGAGCTGACTTGCCAGGAGGAGTGCATCATCACCTCCTACCAGAATGCCTATTACTACACCGATTCCTTCGAGGAGGCCAAGGAGCAGATGAGGTAGGTTCTCAATAGATTCTACTTATTTGGTTTTCTTAAGTTATTTTTACAAAATACATTAAACCGTGTTATTCTAAGAGCTTTTGCCGAGAGTATCCAACGACCATTTGGAGTGCGCTATAACCCATATACGATGAGTGTTGAGGTCCTGTCAAATGCCCAGAAAATTACCGCGGTGGTCAGCGAACTCCGAGGGGATCTCAGCATCGTTTGCTCGGCCCTGCGAAAGATCTCCGCGACGGATGAGAACCTGGATGTGGACAGCATTGCCAATATGCTCCACAATAGCCTCAATGTTAGAGGTGGAGCTTCGGGAGGCGGCGGAAGTCCCTGCAGTCCGGATAATTCCGACAACTCGACGGCAGAGGGCGAATAGGAACGGAAATGGACAGAACGACTAGGAACGGAAATGGACACAAATGGAACGAATCGGGAACAGATTATTGGGACCAAATTGCAGTATACTTCACTTAGCAAAGATACATTTTAAAATATATAGTCTTCTTGGTAAACAAAAATTATTCAGGATATTTATATATTTAAATATTCCAAATTAAAACAAATTAAAAACGGCGCGCGATAAAAGTTGTTTACAGATTAGAAAACAAAATTTTTATTTCACCAAATTTGGTTAATGTAGTTTCGCAGAGCTTTTCATCAGCAATGTCTATTCAACAATTGAACTAATTTTGAAAAGTATTTGTAAAGTTTAGTATAATACCGTAATTTATTAATCAATGAAAAAAAGTCATTTATATATTCCAATTAAAAATCAAGGAACTCAAAAGAAACTGCGCGATAAATGTTTTTGAATAGACAAAATTTTAGAAAGGCAAAATTATATTATCAACTGAATATTTATTTGAAAAAATCTAGTTAATGTAATTTTTCAAAATATTTCATCAGAAAAATCTATTGAACAAAAATTTTGTTAAGAAGCAAATAAATAATCTGATTTTTAAGAAGTCGAAAAGGGAGATGAATCTACATATAAAATAAATCTAAATATTTTTAGAACTGATCCTGTTGAATAATATTACCGACCTGTCAACGACAGTTTCTTAAAACTCCTAAAATCAGCTAAGCGAACTATACTGTAGCTACACTTTTTAAATGTACACACGTATCCATGTCTATGTCTAGCAGTTGTTTATTCAGATCTTAAAGCTATGTAAAGACTATAGTAACAATAAATTCGCAACCTCTCGGTGTAGCTGCCCTATTCTACTATTCTACTTGTAGATCATATCACAGTCGCTGTTGATGAGCAGCTTCTTGCTCATGTAGCTGGTGAGGCACTGGACCAGGAAGTTGGGAATGGTCCAGAGGTTGAAGCTGAGGGCTAGGAGTCGCCATTGCTGCAGGATGAGCCGGATGTCGGAGAGCCACACGAAGCGGTGGCCCACTCGCTTGGACACCTGGCTAGTGACGCCTCTGACCACGCCACCTGCCAGCCCCGAAACGCTGACCCTACGCTTTTTCGGGGGACCTCCCTCCTCCGAACCCGAACCACTTCCGGAGTTCTGTCTAGAATGGGTGCGGGATCGGGATCCAGGGCTATTGCCCCCGGAGGTCAAATATTTTTGCTCAAACTCTGGCTTGAGGTCGACGCGTGGCGCTATTTGAATGCGATCCACTGTGTCGCAGATCTCCGCATTGCTGATCAGTATGCCCGCCACAATGTACATCATCTTGAAAACCCTGTTTTTAGGAAAATTAATTATAATTAGTACAGGCTTTAAGGCATAAATACAATGACGAACGCACCTCACTGTATGTGACATCATCTTAGCTGTTTGAAGATGTCTGTATATGTATTCCTGTGTTTTTGTCTATTTTATTTGTATATTTTTTATTGACTGCAACAAGGTGCCTTATCAGTCCACTGCGTGTTTTATTGCCGATCTGCTGATGTATTTATTCGCTAGTTTCTATGCTCGGCACGTGGATCTGTTTATTGACACTGATTCTGGGGAACTGATCGCGTTTTCGACTGCTCTGCTCCGCTGTTGAAAATAGACTGAAAGCCCCGGCGACCTAAACGAATTTTAGCTGATAAGTAGTCCCAGTCCCTCATGTGGATAAGGCTGCATGTCCGATGCTAATGCTCGCTAGTGATATGATCGCTGGTTTTTTAATGTGTCTGCATTAGGTACCCTCGTAGTCGTTCTCTCAGCTGAACATCGGTCGATAAGGCCCGTGACTTTCGCCTTATCGATCCATTTTATGGATCACTTATCACTTTGCCGCGGCCGGCGTCAAAATAACTCTGAATCGCTTGGAAACTACGTAATGTTTACTGTGCTCTGTGCACATTGGACTCCGGGTTGGATGAGTGGGCGACTGCCTTCGTGGTGATTGCCCAGAATAATGGGGTCTGGTCTGGGTTCTATCGCATGAGCAGGGTCCGTGGCCATTGGATCGGTCTGATAGTGCGGCCTAATCAGCGAAATACATCTACTTCACCTTTGCCTAAGCTAAACACTTCGATTTTTCGGCAGACCTTTTTTTATTTACCTACAATCTATACAATTTAGGACTAGTGATTTGTGACCCACTGCGTTCATCCAGTGTTTCTTAGATTAAGATTGTCTGGCACAAAAGCTTTCATTTTTAAAATGATGTTTTTTTTTTTTTGGAAAAAATACCTTTTTTCGTCACTAGTCTAAAACTGTACTGTTGTACTTTGTTCGTGTTTCCCAGGTCTTCAACCCCATAACAAAAAGCATTCATGGTTTAAGGCAATGCTAAAAGCTTCTTTTTATAGCTCTCACTTTTTGTCCATGGCTACGATTATGGTTAAGAAAATTACCAAGTGCCTAAACATTAAGACAGTAATTTTCATTTTTTTAATATGAATATTTTGGTTCTCGGAGTTGAAAACAAGAAAAGCAGCCTAAGACTATTTCAATTTTTGAATTCATTCAACTAATTTTTCTAATTATATACCGGTTTAAGTTCTTTAATATCAGATCATTCATAAACAATTTTTAGATTGTAGATAACTTCTTCCAAAAAGATATTTCATATTCAGAAATATTAATAGCTTATTTACATTATATTATGGATATTATATTTGCAATATTTAAAGAAAAACGTTTTTATGCTGTATTTTAAAATTAAATTTAAATTGTTTTAAATTCGTTACACTTGTAGTAAGTCCAAATATTTCGTAATAAATTTATTTTAGCTTTGACTTTCATCCATCGCGGTTCTTAGGAATTTTAAATATAAAAAGATTAAAGCTAACATTTTTTTTTCAATAGTCTACGGTCAGAAATTCATATTTCCTATATCATTTTCATATTAGTGTAGCTACTTTTCCGTTGTTTCCGTTTCATTTTAATGTCTTTACCTAAATATATAGTCTGAAACATCAACATTGACAGTTTCTTAAGTTGTGATATTAAAATGCAAGCCGCTTGACTTGCCAAATTAAGTGGGCATCCACAATTGACTACCGAAATTAATTTGTGCAGTCATTCGATTCAGTTTCTTCACCTCATGTCGAGAGTAAACTAAACGCCCCAAACAGCTTTGGCAGCCACTCGGGCTGTTGTTAGACCACAAAAACCATTTAATTTGTTGGCCGAAAACCTATAACAATAATTGACTTTGTTCCGCCCCAAAGTCCACCAACACACCAGACACACTCACAAGGTGTCCTGGCGAAATTCTTAAGCAAGTCTCTGGCCCAGAGACTTTCCCACATAAATTATGCAGGAGCCGTCCAGCTCCTGACCACTGGCGCCTGTCGGCAGCAGAGTCCTGGAGTTGGAGGTGTGTGAAACAAGATTATTTACAAAATGCACAAGCCACAGAATCTTAAACACAGCAAAAGGTCCTTTGCGGAGTGAGATCGGAAAGAAAACAATTTTCACACAAATTTCTGGAGCACACAAATGAAAGCCGAACGAGCAAGCAAACAAACAGACAAACACAAAGTGGTCAGAGAAGGCGGCGGTGGCAGACAAGTCTGAGCTGCCAAAAGGTATTCCCCAAGAATGTCTGCCATAAGGACTAGAGTTGGCACTGATTTGTCTCCCTCCGACAGCATAAAACACTTCCCCATCGCAGCCCCAGACACACACACACAACACACACAACAGAGCACCTCATTCTCATCCACATCGCACACAAATGGAGACGTTATCGTCCTCATCATTTGGCATCGTCTTGGAGCAGGAAACACCACACAGTTGGCCACAGCCAGACGACCTTGACATACACAACTGTGCTCGAATGAGAATGCTCATTCAAGTGTCCAGTCTGAAAAATGGCCACCTCCTTCTCGTCCATCGTCCTTGGTCTTTGGTCTTTCTCGTCCTTCGTCCTTGTTTGTGGTGCCAAAGGCCAGGGGCATTCAAGGAATCAGCATCTCTCTGGTCTGCCGGTTAATTGTGAGCACCCCCTCCTCCTACTGGGCAATTTCCAGCATCCAGCATCCAACATCTCCTGGCAACTGCAACTGCACTTCTGAGTCCGAGATTTCACAGCTTGGCAGGCACTTTGAGGCCACTTGTTGAACGGCTTGAAATGCGAGACTTACCTCGGGGGCCAAAAGGATAATTGAATGGCTGCCTTTAAGATGACCGCCAGCTTAAATGCAAATTTGGTTGGAGCCATGGCCAAATCGCTTAATAAATTGCGCAGAGCGGGAAAGCGTGTAAAATGGAAATTGAAAATAATGAAAATGCATAAAAAAAAGCGGTGGTTCTGAGCAGAAGAAAGGGTGCTTTTTCTCTGGACATGATATATGATGGAGCAGCAGCAGCAGCAGCAGGAAATAATTCCCAATCCAGCCGAGGAGTGGGACATGCAAATATTGAAACTGGCCAAGCCGGAGTAGCACAAAGAAATCTAAACAACAACAGGAGGGCCCAGTCGCTTCATCTGAGCATTTTTGGCCAGCCACTAACAATAAATGATGATGGAAATGGATTGGGTGTGCACGGTGTATGAAGGTTGAAGAGGAGTTGCTGCTCCAAACATCGCTGATTAAACGCGAGTGCCACGAATGCGTCGCGAGGTGACGACGACGACATGGACATGGATTTGGAGTTGACTGGAGTGTGGAGTGTGCAATGTGGAGTGGAGTTTTTCGGGGTGGACCTTGTCTACGTGTCCAGACGGGCAGACGGGCAGACAGGCTGCAGTCGTCCAGCTTGCAGATCCCAGACAGACTTCCACGGCTGGAATGGGCTCTTCCTTTTCCGCAGGACGACAGCCTCGAGTCCCAGTGTTCTGTGGCAACATTTTCGACAAAGGACCAGAAAACTGCAGATTGCAAAAAATCAACTACGGCCATATAGAGTATATATATATATATATGGCATAACGTGTGTGATGCTTGGCCATGTATAGATTCTGGTTTTTTGGGCAAACATTTCCGGATTTTCTTCATTTTTGTTGTATTTCTCTAATTTATTTCTTGATTTTATTTGTTTCACCGCCAGAAGAGCGAACACTCCGCATGCAAATGATGTTGAATGCGATAAGTGTTCGAAGGGTTGGTCATTCCCTTCATTTTATTTTTCAAGTGGAAGTGGAAAAAAACAAAAAGAAAAACACTTGAAAAGTGCAGACAGCGGGGTACGAGAAGTGGCAGCATTTGAAATATGAACTTGAGGGAACCGTATTGTCTGCCCTGATTATGGGTGGGTATAACATATACATATATGGCTTTAACCATCCTCTTATACCTTGGCCACATTAGCAACTGGTTGATTTATTAAGATGTTTTCATTAGAAACAGACACTAATTGCTGGCTAACCCAATGAAGTAGATCTAATGAAGCAAATACCAGCACTTTAAGTCAGCATCCTAGCGGATCTTCTTCATATTTCATGGGTAAAAATCAAGTATCCGCCAGGTTGCGCGGCATTGGCAGGTCAGTGCATTACCATCAGCTCACATGTCCTTTGTGACAGAAATTCCCCCCACTATCCTTCCTCTTTTTTTTCTCCTTTTCTGCCCAGCTGCACATAAACCAAATATGTATGTAATTTTTTGCAATTTTCTAACAAAATTTCGCATTTTTTCGTGTTGCTATTTTATTTTGCATGGCTCGTTGGACAGGCCAAGGCTGGCTGACTTGCTGGCTGGCTGGCTGGTTGGCTGGCATGTCCTGTGATGTCCTTCTTCTAGTTTTCGCCAGAGAAGGAGGAGGCCACTTGGCAGCCGGATCACGTTTGGAATATTTTCAATGTCCCGGACGGGATGTATGGCGGGATATAATAATTTCATGTGACATGTAGCGGTCCTCTGCTCAGCTACCTCCTTGTCCCGGGCTGCTTTGATATATAATTTTGCATTTTTTAATGCCTCACTTGCCCCGAGCAACGTTCGTCATGATGTGAGCGAGTGTCCTGAATGTCCTGTTTGTGTTTGCCCTGTGCACTTTTGGGCAGCGCATAATCTCATTTAGTTGCTGGCAAAACGCTTTTTAAAATCAAATTTCCGCTAAAACATTTTCTATTTGGCATTTCGTTGGCATTTGTGGCTCGCAAATGGAAATAAACCCAGGCTTTTTGTCTGTCAACTGGAGGGAATGTGGCGAAAATAAGAAAAACGTAGATCATAAACATTTAAGGAGGGACTTTGATGGACAATTTCCTTACGAAAAAAAAGGATTATCTTTTTTGCAACTGTCTGAATATTATTTGCACTTTGCTGCAGTTTGATTGAACCTTGCCTTATTTTCCCCTTTTGCGAACGCATGTCCATCATAATTAATGGCTGGATTCCTTACGCTATAAGTCGGACTTGCAGCAGGCTGCCAGCCATCAGTCTCACCCCCCACAGGACCTCTTTATCCTTTTCCTTCTCCATTTTCCACCCATTTCTAGCCGAGTTGGCTCCGCCTCCAAAAGCCGGCAGTTGGTGCGTTTTCTGTGCGTCCGCTTGACGCTCTATGTACCAAAAAACCCAACGATAAGGCGATGCAGGAGGAAGACCAGAACCAGGACGAAGAACAGGAGTAGAAAGGCGCCAGAAGAGACGAACGAGTGCAGAGTAAATGAAAATGAATGTCAGCCCGCCTAAAAGTAGGCAGCAGGAGCAGCCGAAAGCCCCCTGCCAAATACATAGAGCTATTGAAACGAGGGGACGAATGGATCATGGAGATGGAGCCCCAAGAAAACTGTTTGCCTGTCCACGCGGCGTATGCGCAACGCAGGAGGAGGCCACGCGGCGTATGTGCAACGTATGTGCAGCCGGGAATGTGTAAATCAATCAGCAGGCATGGACATTCGCTAAACT